TTTTTTTTTTTTTTTTTTTTTTTTTTTTTTTTTTTTTTTTTTTTTTTTTTTTTTTTTTTTTTTTTTTTTTTTTTTTTTTTTTTTTTTTTTTTTTTTTTTTTTTTTTTTTTTTTTTTTTTTTTTTTTTTTTTTTTTTTTTTTTTTTTTTTTTTTTTTTTTTTTTTTTTTTTTTTTTTTTTTTTTTTTTTTTTTTTTTTTTTTTTTTTTTTTTTTTTTTTTTTTTTTTTTTTTTTTTTTTTTTTTTTTTTTTTTTTTTTTTTTTTTTTTTTTTTTTTTTTTTTTTTTTTTTTTTTTTTTTTTTTTTTTTTTTTTTTTTTTTTTTTTTTTTTTTTTTTTTTTTTTTTTTTTTTTTTTTTTTTTTTTTTTTTTTTTTTTTTTTTTTTTTTTTTTTTTTTTTTTTTTTTTTTTTTTTTTTTTTTTTTTTTTTTTTTTTTTTTTTTTTTTTTTTTTTTTTTTTTTTTTTTTTTTTTTTTTTTTTTTTTTTTTTTTTTTTTTTTTTTTTTTTTTTTTTTTTTTTTTTTTTTTTTTTTTTTTTTTTTTTTTTTTTTTTTTTTTTTTTTTTTTTTTTTTTTTTTTTTTTTTTTTTTTTTTTTTTTTTTTTTTTTTTTTTTTTTTTTTTTTTTTTTTTTTTTTTTTTTTTTTTTTTTTTTTTTTTTTTTTTTTTTTTTTTTTTTTTTTTTTTTTTTTTTTTTTTTTTTTTTTTTTTTTTTTTTTTTTTTTTTTTTTTTTTTTTTTTTTTTTTTTTTTTTTTTTTTTTTTTTTTTTTTTTTTTTTTTTTTTTTTTTTTTTTTTTTTTTTTTTTTTTTTTTTTTTTTTTTTTTTTTTTTTTTTTTTTTTTTTTTTTTTTTTTTTTTTTTTTTTTTTTTTTTTTTTTTTTTTTTTTTTTTTTTTTTTTTTTTTTTTTTTTTTTTTTTTTTTTTTTTTTTTTTTTTTTTTTTTTTTTTTTTTTTTTTTTTTTTTTTTTTTTTTTTTTTTTTTTTTTTTTTTTTTTTTTTTTTTTTTTTTTTTTTTTTTTTTTTTTTTTTTTTTTTTTTTTTTTTTTTTTTTTTTTTTTTTTTTTTTTTTTTTTTTTTTTTTTTTTTTTTTTTTTTTTTTTTTTTTTTTTTTTTTTTTTTTTTTTTTTTTTTTTTTTTTTTTTTTTTTTTTTTTTTTTTTTTTTTTTTTTTTTTTTTTTTTTTTTTTTTTTTTTTTTTTTTTTTTTTTTTTTTTTTTTTTTTTTTTTTTTTTTTTTTTTTTTTTTTTTTTTTTTTTTTTTTTTTTTTTTTTTTTTTTTTTTTTTTTTTTTTTTTTTTTTTTTTTTTTTTTTTTTTTTTTTTTTTTTTTTTTTTTTTTTTTTTTTTTTTTTTTTTTTTTTTTTTTTTTTTTTTTTTTTTTTTTTTTTTTTTTTTTTTTTTTTTTTTTTTTTTTTTTTTTTTTTTTTTTTTTTTTTTTTTTTTTTTTTTTTTTTTTTTTTTTTTTTTTTTTTTTTTTTTTTTTTTTTTTTTTTTTTTTTTTTTTTTTTTTTTTTTTTTTTTTTTTTTTTTTTTTTTTTTTTTTTTTTTTTTTTTTTTTTTTTTTTTTTTTTTTTTTTTTTTTTTTTTTTTTTTTTTTTTTTTTTTTTTTTTTTTTTTTTTTTTTTTTTTTTTTTTTTTTTTTTTTTTTTNTGTGTGTGTGTGTGTGTGTGTGTGTGTGTGTGTGTGTGTGTGTGTGTGTGTGTGTGTGTGTGCTTAAGGTAAACGCAGGCTGGCCTCTTCGGCGTCGACGTCTTCGTGGACCCTCTCTGGATCGATTCAATTGTCCAGTGGCTGGTCGGACTGGCACTAGTCACAAATGCGATACCACGTAGTCGGGTGATACTGTCGACTTATATCACACGACACGGTAACGAGTTAATTCCTCGGTTTGCGGCAGATATCGGAAATGCGGTTATCGGTGTCTCGATGACGAATTCGAGAATTGTTCGCCGGCGTCTTAACGACGAAATTACGAGTTGCACTCCGAAAGAATATTAATATGCCGGACCGAGGTTCACTAGTCGAATGTAAAACAAAGAGTGTCCTCGTCAGTCACACTTTCAAGTATGCGAGCCTGATCGATGATCGCACGCGCAAGCGTAGCGAGGCGATATCGATAAGCTCCAGCTTTCCGTCTTTTCGGCCAAGCTTCGTTAGTGCGGCCAACTTGTCGTTCGCATTCCTTGCTATGCGAGTCCTGTGTTGCCATTGTTGCCATTGCTGCTGCCAACTTGTCGTGTCGTCTCTTGATTCGTGTCTGTATGTGTTTGTAAGTGTAAAAGTTGTAAGAGTCGTATCTTCCCGTCACAATTTATATCCATATCTATTCCAAATTATTAACAGTTAAGTTAAAAGTTATTTTAATTTTCTTTTGGCAATATTAAAAATATAAATTAGTAAATACAACTCAATTTAATTTATTATCAAAACCCTCTAAAATGTGTGAACACAATCGCAACACTATATATGGGTCAGATTCAGAATTTTTTAAATAAACCTGCGGGCGAGGTTCACGGATTTTCCTGAAATTTTGGTATGTTATAGTACATGATAAAAAAGTGCCAAAACCAAAATTTTGGACCCCCTCCCCCCTCCTACCCCCCTCCTCCCCTATAGACGTCCATTTTCTATCTATATTTTTTCTGTAAGCCTGAAGCTATTAAAAAATCTGAAAAATTCATGAAGGTACTTTTCAACCATCCGAACAATCTTGAATTTTTTCAGATTTTTCGAGTGCTTCAGGCCTTCAGAAAAAATCATTGAAAATTTAAATTATTTTATTTTCGGTAAAATGGTTCGATGTACCAAACCGGAGTATTTTTTTCTGAATTCTGACATCAAAAAACGATTCCTTGAATTTTTTCAGAATTTTTCATTCATGTCCATTCAGCCTAGAACTGAAAAACCGCTTTTTTTCACGAAAATAATTTTTTTAAGGCGATACGGAGCCTCAAAAAATCTGGAAAAAATTTTTTCTCATTTTGTTCATCAAAATAAATAATCTCAAATTTTTTCAGATTTTTTAATTGAAGGCGATAGCGTCTGGAGCCGACGAACGTTATTTTAAACAAAAAATGGTTCCTGGAACCCAGAGGTTCCACTAAAAAAATTTGAAAAAAATTTTTAATAAATTTTTAATAAATTTTGACCGTCGCAAAATTTCGATCGGAGCTTCCTAGCTCATTCTAGAGCATAACAAAGATTCGAGCGAAATTCTGAAGACATCTGAAAAAATTTAAATATGATGAATGTTTTTCTTTGTTTTTGTTTCTGGAGAATATTATAATGAGCTTACTCCTCGAAGCACGCGCCTTTTATACTCGCGGGCGACTGCCCTCTCCAAACGCTCGATCCGCGCTCAATGCAGCGCCGATACCGCATCCTCGCGTTTCCTTGTTCGCGTCGAAAAACGGGGCAAAATTCCTTTTTTTGTCTCTTTTCCTCGCGGGCCCAGCATACGGTCGCGAAGGAAACAGGTGGGGCGCGAGTTAAGGTGGGGATTCTCGTCGTCCCAGACGATGCGCGCTCTGGTGCTTAAAAGAATTTAATTACAAAACTTTTGAGACCTAAAGGAATCTAATTGAATAATTGTTGTTCTTAAAATCATGCGGTCAAGGACATAAAAAATACAATTCAATATATATGAATCCTGGATGAATTTTAATAATAAAATGAACTACAGACATATTTTTTGTTGTAAAAGGACCTGTAAAAACATATTTTAACATCAGAAACAAAAAATTTTAATATTAATCCTTAATTTTCATGTTTTTGCATTTATAGGTAGGTAGGAGCACTATACTACTTGAGTGGAAATTAAACACACCCAAATTTCTTTTAGTGTAGGTGTCTATACATCGTCGGTTTGCGCTGCGCGATGCTATTGACTGCCGCGCTAGCTACATCGAACTCGATGACTACTTTCTGCTGTCGAGATTTGCCACGCGTATATCTTACTCTTTCGGTCTCGCACGCGCGTATGACTGTGTTTACGTATACACACGAGGCAACACAAGAACATGAGCAAAGGCAGTCTGAGTAGTTCACGGACTTGATTATATTGAGTTGTCTTTCTTGCTCTTGCTTGTGCATATAATACGAAAGAATACGTATGTGCTGTCAATGTGTATATGTAGCGAGACTCTACGCACTATCATGCATGTTTTCAAATCTGATATTGATCAATGCATGTATGTATACGTGTCTATGAGTGTGTGTCTTCTTACCGGGAGTCGAAATTTTTATTATGTTACATTTTTTATGTACTTGTAACAGTATTCTGAAGTTTGACAAATTTTTCTGAATAAATCATTGACATTCGTCAAGCGTTAGCTAGTGAATGCTATGATAAATGGTCGCCCACTGAATCTACAGAGAAATAGAAAAAGTACTTTACCGCGATACTTAACTAGAGAGCCTGATCACCCGTAGGTGGACACCGTAACGTAGACAAACTTATGACACGATATCATCGGAGTAATCACTTGAAGAACTTGAGAACTAAGCGAAAAGCAATGTATGAAGTGACTTGCTGAACTGAAACCAGCAGACTTGAATGAGGAATGACTGAATGCCTTTAGGGTAGGGGACGAAGAATTTTACCCAGGCCATCACGATCCCTTTATTTATGGTCCTCCTGTGCGGAGAAATCCTATGGAGACCTTGAATTTGATCTTGAACATAGTCTTTGAACTAAAGCGAACCAATAATCGATATAACAAATAAGAACCCTACTTTTAATTGCAGATTTTAAAAGAGCGAATACATTCCGAGAAAATAATTCGTATCAAATTCCAGAACGAGACGTCTTAATTCTTCTCTTAATATTGTGAAAGAATATATTATAAAAAAAATTAGATCCATTATGTACATACATGTAACGTAATTCGAAGTCACGAGCACGCTGCACCCAGGATTTTGAACTATGTAACTTGTTCTGTATAATGTTGCTTATAAAAATGTATAAACCTTATTACAAAGTTAGTTAGTTAGTTATCTGTTTTACAGACTTATGTGCAAGATTTAATTCAGATCGAAGCGATGCATATTTATGATATGCTGGTCAATCAGAAGGGTCATTTTTATGTTTGTGGAGACTGTACTATGGCTGAAGATGTTTATCAAACATTAAAACACATAATCAAAATACATGGAAATATGATTGATCAAGAAGTAGAAACTTACATGTTATCAATGAGGGTAAATGTTTTAATAATTATTCATATGATTCATCAATGTTTTAATTTTAATATTTTTCAGTAATACTCCTGGCAAACTATACTCTACACTCGTTAATTATTAATTAAACATTTTAAATAATTGAGAAGAAATTATTGAACCTTCTAGCTCCGATACAAACCCCCTCCCCCTCTCCTAATGAATTATATTTGAAAACATACAATACATTTTTGAATGATTCTAGAAAACTTTAATAATAAATGGGTAATACAGCTAAACCCCGATATCTGCGCATTCGATATCTGCGGATTCGTTATCTGCGGTTAAGTTCATGTTGACTTGAAGGTGTTGACATTTGTTTATTGTTATTATATTTTTTTAAAATCAGTTGCGATAGTAATATTTTATATTTTTCTTTATTACTAAAATGGCACCATCAAAAAAATCTAGTCCGTCAAAAAAGTGTAATAAGAAAGTTTTAAATTTAGCACAAAAACTAGAAACTTTAGATTTATTGAAAAAAGGAGAAAAAATCGCACACGTCGCTCGAAAATTTGAGGTTGATGCATCCACAATACGAAATATTCGTTACAACAAGACAACAATTCAAGAAAGCGCATAAACACTTGGAGTACACGCGAAAGAAAGAAAAATTATTCGCCAGCCGGGTATCGAAAAAATGGAGCAAATGCTTTATATCTGGATCCAAGACATGGCTAGGAAAAATTTCCCGCTGTCATTGTTGTTGATACGAGAGCAAGCTTTAACTTTCCATCGACGTGTAAAGGAAACTTGTGAATCTTGTGCAGAAGAGTCATTCAATGCGAGCACCGTTTCAAGGATCGATTTTCATTACATAGTATTGGTTTTACCGGTGAAAGAGCATCAGCAGATGAAAAAGTGGCTAGTGATTTTTCTCAGCAGCTTAAGTTATTTTTAGATGAAAAAAATTATTCACCATCACAAGTTTTTAACTGTGATGAGTTAGGTTTATTTTGGAAAAAAATGCCGCGACAAACATATTTAACTCAAGAAAAAAAATCTGCACCAGGATTTAAAGCTGCAAAGGACAGGTAACAAATTATTATCGTTTTCATAATCTTATAATATTTAATTGAATTAAATAAATTTTTATTTAATTTTATCGTTAGGTATACGCTGCTTCTGTGTGCTAATGCTTCTGATTCAATTAAATGTAAGCCGATGCTTATTTATCGTGCTGAAAATCCCAGAGCACTGAAAAATAAGAATAAAGCACTCCTACCAGTATTCTGGAGATAAAATAAGAGTGCGTGGGCTACCAAAAAAAAATATTCAAGAATTGTTTCAGTATTCATTTAATCCTGAAGTAAGAGAAAAACTAACTCAGGAGAATCTTGCATTCAAAGTCTTGCTGTTGATGGATAATTCACCGAACCACCCGACTTCATTGCTAACTTTACACCCGGACGTCGAAATCATGTTTTTACCCCCTAATACGACCTCGCTCATACAACCAATGGACCAAACGGTAATCGCAACATTTAAAGCCTACTATCTAAGGCGTGTGATGAGAAGAATGATGGAAATTATGAATCAGGCTCAAGTTACCTCTGTTGATCCGAGAGATGCTGTCAGAAATTGTTGGAAGCGATTCGATGTTCAACATTCTATTGGGTACGTTATGATTGCATAAATAATATTAAATATTTTTCTTAACAAATAATATTTTCCTTGACAGGTTCGTAGATGAATCGTGGGAGGAGGTAAGGCCGTCCACCGTTGTTACCGGTAGAACAGCAGCTTACTCCTGCGAGAGGTTTTGGGGGTGAATGAATAAATAATTATGAACACAATCAATTAATAAATAAATAGTTATAAAATGTATATTGTAAAGTCCAAAATAAATAAATGTACAAGATGCTCGGGGCGCCACTGCATGTAGAGCATGCAGACTCAACGATTATAATCTCGGGGACGCGAATTCATGTCGATGGCAAAAGAATCCGATTAACTAAGAAATGATTTTACTACGCGAATACCGATATGGCTCGAGAGATAGTTAGTGTGTTTGTGTACTTAAATTATCGCTGCCCAGCCTCTTCGACGACGACGGTCCCAGGTCCACCCGATGTTGGTTGGCATGGTGGCAGGATGGCAAGCGACACCTTGAGTTGGAAATCTTCTCCAGAGACACTACCAGTGTGAGCGATGTGGACTAGTCAAAGGTCTGATTGTTAGAGAGAGTCCAAGGTGACTCTCCATAGGCACGAATTCGAATGTTTTTTGCTCCTTGCGAATTTAGTTAGTGCGCATGTGTAGTTATAGATAAATTAGGAGTATCGACGTATCGACCTGCCAAAGTGTCTTGGCTATGCCATGCTCTCTTCATGATCTTGTCTATGTGTATGTGTGAATGTGTGTACGTTAGTCGCGATCTCTCGAGCCAAACGAGTATCGAAGGTATCGTTGTGTTGGGGAATATATGTGATATATTTCCCGTCACACTCCAAAACAAACAGTGCGTGAAGTTGTAAGCGGTATCGTTGAGATAGCTCAAAGTGTCGGTGGCGAGAGTTTCGCAGATATTGAAGATAACGAGATTTTAGAACTAGTACAGCCTATAAATGAAGAACTGTCCGTGGAAGAAATTGAAGGGATTCTGAATCAACCAGAGCAAACTGAAAAAAACGAAGCTGAGACTGAGCCTGAATCGACTACTTTTCCGGCGAATGCAATTATCAAAATAATTCGATTGGTAGAGGATGCTATAGAAACAGCAATTGAAAGTGACCCGATTATGATACGTAGCCTCAATTTTAAAAATGATTGTGAAACCGTTTTAAAGGTCTACCGAGAGTTGTATGGCGATACTGCTCGACGAGCTAAACAAACTCAAATAACACATTTTTTTTAACAAAAATGAATTATTAAATGAATTGTAGCATGTTATGTTTGTAATAATTTATATTTGATACAAAAAAAATATTATTTTCTAGCAAAAAGTACTTTATGTACATTTTTTCGTCCACCCGGAACGTAACCCTATAATTCCTATAAGAGCAATGCTTCGATATCTGCGGATTCGATATCTACGGCACCCTTCCAGAACGTAACCCCCGCAGATATCGGGGTTTAGCTGTATTGAGGTACTGGTTTTGTCTGAAAGGAAGAAAACTCAAATACTAACTCATAAGACTTTTGAATGTTATATTTGTGATAATTAAATTATGTAGAACATTGTGCCAACATACTTTTGTAAAATGAAAGTCTTGAAAAAATCCCTGAAGATCACTCGAAGTTTACGGCAAGCTAACTTATTTGAATTTATTATGATTATGACATCACCCACTGAATCAGCAAATGAAAGAGTGGGGAGTTTATTATGATGATGACGTCATTTATTTTGACTGCTGCGCGAACCACCTGGATCATCTTATTTGCATCCATCTCAATATTTTCAAGATATTTGCCAACTTTGGTGAGAGTAATGTAGTCCGTAAAGCCCAAAACTGACACCGTCTTGGTCAGGTTCAGGCTCAGAATTTTGTACATGGTGTTAAGTCTCCCTTGGGACCTAGATTTATTTTTCCTGGTGAGAACCAGGAGGATGGACGTTCTTTAGCGACTACTTGAACAGGAGTACTCAAGGGTTTGGAGCCTAAGTCTATACTACTATCTATTTTTGGTGACCCTCGTCCCGTGTGGGATGCGTAGTACACGCATGGCTACTAGTCGATCGCACTGCCTTTGCAGGTGATGGCTAGCAGGCACCCGTCACCTCGGCCGCCCAGGCGACGAGAGAGGATGCTGTGGCTCACACACAACAATATATAAAATTCTGACAGAGACGAAGAGAAAGAAGAGAAGATATAAAAAACGAGGAGAGATAGCAATAATTGAGTTACTCTCTTTCGATATTGGCTATTAATAGATCTTTTTATTCATTTATCGGTCTTGTAACGATATCGGTCTCCGGTGATATCACTTCTGTAACTGTTATGATTCTATTTCAATTAATACAACGTTGCACTTAGGACAATTTTATAACTTTATCCATGCAAAAATGCACTTTCAAAGATTTAGCGAACTGTATTTTGCAAAGGTACGCATTAGGACGATTTTATTTTGATTAATGTAAAAGTACACTTAGGATAACTGTAGGAGTGGTGTGTTGCAAAGATGCAATCGTAAAGCAAAGGTGCGCTTTCTTATTGCTCTCTGGTCTAGGGATGAGAGAGAACTGACTTCGTTGTACAATGAAGTTTCGAAGTCGGAGTTCCCTCATTTAGGGTCTGCCGGTCCTATTGCTGCACATGTTCCTTCGTCAGCTCTTTTTAGCCTTTGTTCCAACAGCTTTCCAAGTAGCTTTTAGCCTCTTCACAGAGGGAGTCGAAACTTTAGAGCTTCTGTCCCACGGTCGCGCTGGTATGCTTACTGCTCATAAAATGCGACACGCTTCGTCCGGTCTTACATATTGCTTATTTATTATATATTTTATATAGTTTTATTATATTTGCATCCAGTCGGGGTTCCCCTACCTGGCAAGTAATAAGTCTATAAATACATATGTATGTAATGTCTATAAATACATACATATGTATGTAACAACCTCCCTTCCTTAGAATCCAAAGTCCCCGTTGGATAACATATAATGACGAGCACCTTCTGTATGGCGTCGATAGTTGACCGTCTTTTTTGGAAACCAAACTGTGAGTCTGGTAATCCAGCAGGCTCCTCAGTGTTAGCTTCCAGACGACCAACAATGATCCTTTCCAGGATCTTGCCGCAGTATGCATAACGGGTGGTAAGACGAGGGCTCCGATGTTGGTGGCACGGCTTTAATATATAATATTTAATATTTACTTTATTGACGCAAAGGACTTGAGTCCACCATAGCCCATAGGTAGCTGTACAGTCTCCCGGTCAACAACGGGGGACACGGGTACGAGTATCACATACAATTTCGATTACTTTTACAAGAGAAATAGAAATAAGGAAAAAACGAAAAAAGAGTACACGAGCAAAAAAAGAAAGTGAGT